CCTTCCTTCCTTCCTTCCTTCCTTCCTTCCTTCCTTCCTTCCTTAAGAGAACATTTATTGGGTAAATCACAGAGGTAGAAAAAGTAATTCCTAGAAGAAATGGGCATAGGAAACAAGTTATAGAGGTAAAGGAAGGGCCCTTGAGCTTGGGAGTGAGGAAACTAATGATAATGTGCCTGGGGGAAGGGGAAAGGGAAATGGAAACACACAAGAGTGCTCCCAGGAGGGAGAGCCTGATGCCTGCTTTCCTAATTCAGCTCAGAGAGGTTAGGTAATTAAGCCAAGGGCACAGAGACTGATCGCTTTAGGACACAAAATCAGTAAATTAGGTAAGAGCCATGAAGATGTCCTCCGACTCCCCCAGCCCCAGCCAGCACATGTTTCTCCTTTTACACTTTGTCCCAATTTGGGGGGCAATGAAACTTCTGCGGTGGTCATAATCATCGTCTCAAAGCAGAGTGGGAATTTGGGGCAAAGAGAGTTTTCTTAATTGCCTTTATTGCAGTGCAGGATGAGAACAATTGAAGACAGTCATTTTTTTAAAAACTTCATCTACCCATAGCATTATAGAGTTGACCTTGGGCAACCTGAGCCTGTTTCCTCACTTGATGGAGAGGGATAATCAATACACCTGAGAGGACCCACTAAGCAAATGCTGAGACAACACCCAGGGAGGACTTGGCACCAATGAGCAGCCCCATAAATACTAGCTGCTCTTACTGTCACTGTTATCATTAGGCTGAAAATGTCCCACCAAGCTAAATCCCTTTGAGATCACAGGTATCGGCACCAGACTGCAACATGTAAACAAGCTTTATTTTCTCACTAGTACTTTAATATTAATTTATTATTTAAGTACCAACAAAGAAATCTTCATGCTCCTCCCTTGAATGGGTTTGGTGACTTACCCAAGGGCCTACAGCAGCGGTTCTCAACCTGTGGGTCGCGACCCCTTTGGGGGTCGAACGACCCTTTCACAGGGGTCACCTAAGACCATCGGAAAACACATATATAATTACATATTGTTTTGTGGTTAATCACTATGCTTTAATTATGTTCAATTTGTAACAATGAAATTGGGGGTCACCACAACATGAGGAACTGTATTAAAGGGTCGCAGCATTAGGAAGGTTGAGAACCACTGGCCTACAGGTACTTTACTGAGAATGCTGAGCCTCGACACTGCAGGTCCCAGCAGAACATTTAATCAAAAACGTACACAATAAGCTATAAGCATGCTCCTCACCACACAATACACATATTCAGCTTCATCTACATACCCCAAACTTATACACACTCCTTAATAATCCTTTTAATAGCTGTGATAACTAAACATATTCAGTTTTAATAACAGTTTCATGCATGCCTTCTCCCTTAAATCTAAATAATGCTCCTGCTGTTATTCCAAAAGAAATACTATAACTAGCTATTTGCCATAATAAAGATGAGGAGATTTTGGTTAATCACACTTTAAAGGGGAAATTGTTTTTAGAGAGATTTTAAATTGCAAAATTAAAAATGCAAACATGAAACAATTTTCCCATTGATGTCTTTTCCTTAGGGAAATGTCTTCTTCTATTGCAGTTGGGCCACCTGAATGGGCTTGTTACCCTTCTCTGGGGTTTATTCTGAAACATCAGCTCCTATGAGGCTCATTCTCAGATGCTGGAAAACTAAGAGCCCCCAATGGGGTCTAAGAAGATAGCACTTACGTTCACATATATATATATGGCATAGTCTTGTTTCAAAGGGGAATTACTGCATAAATATAAGGTCATCTATTTCTAGATGCTACAACTAATGTCTATATATAATTGTATTGAACAATATTAAAAATATTACTCATTGAAAAAAATTACTGTGCTGGATACACTATTGTTTTCACTCCTATTTCTAAATAGTCCATTTAAGGTTTATCCGATAGAAACTGCTCAATGCAAGTTTCTCTGAGTTGCTTTTCTTTGTTATTCACTGTGGTTGAGGAATCATGGCTGTGTGAGTGTTTAATTAGCAGGAGTCACCTTGAGAAATGTCCCAAGAGTGGTCACGCTCAATTACTAAAGGGGTAGTTATATCTAAATTGCTCTGCCCACCTGACTGAAAAGCGGTGGATTCATTTTCGGGAATATGTAAATGTCAGATGGAGGTCATCCATCCAAACTCCCTGCCATGAATCCCTCCACCTTTATTTCAACATCACACATGTAAGCAAGCTCCCTGCCCTGAAAAGTTCAACCCATTGCTGGGCATCTCTGAGGTTAGAGAGGTAGCACAGTATTAGTACAGACTCTGGAATCTCAATTTGATCCTAGCTCTGCCACTTACAAGCAAATCTGGCCATATGTTTAAATTATTAACAGACATTGCCTTTTACACAGCAGTCGTCCTTCTGGAAAGCTATCCAAAAAAATAATAAAACCTCAGTACTTGAAGATAAATGTACAAGGATGTTTGCTGAAGCATTGTTTTCTGTAAGTGCAAAAACAATAGAAGGAAAGGTTAAATGCCTGTCCCTAGTACGCAATGCTACATCCATTCTATGAAATATTATGTGGCTTTTAAAAATAACTGTTAATGTCTCCGATTTACTGGCTCAGAGGACTGTATATGGCTTGAGCTGAGAAATGCACATGCCATTTTTTATTAAATCATAAAAATTCCCTGTAGATGTTTTTGTAGGATTCTGTGAGGATAGTAAAAGACATGGTTAATATCCTCTAGTGTTATCTTTGAGCATAAACGAAGATGGAGATTCAGAAAAAGGGTGGGGGGGGAGGGTTATAATATAATGCTGAAAACTAAAAATGTATCTATAAAATGGCCACATATAAGAAAAACTGAATATGCATATTATTGAAAATAGAGTAAAAGAAACATCAATAAATAAAACATGGAGCTATAGCTTATATATTTCTTAGATTTCTGTTATTTTCATGTTGTATTTATAATAAAATAATATTACTAAATCACTTATAAAGAGAATGTTGACAATATAGTGCTACTAAGTAGGGGAGCAAAGGGCTGATCAAGAAGGTCATTTTTAGGGGGTGAGAAAGAGTACTGGCTTCCCAGGAGGTACAAGCAGGGGGCATGGATATAGAGGAACTGCCATGAGGAATGTTCTCTGAAGATCTTCTGTCCTCCCTCCAACCCATAGCTCTGCATGCCTGTTCTGCTGGCCCAGGAAGAGGTTTATACATGTGAAATGAGCACTTTGGAGTGTTCACCTCAGTGCTGTTCATGATCATTTACAATAGGTTAAGTGCTTTCAATTAAAGCTTAGGACAGGGAAGCTCTCAGTTGAGAAATACCATCAAATTGAGTGCACTATAAAGCAGGTCCCCATTGCTGGGATTTATGGAGTCACCAGCAAGCCGACCTCGTGCTGAGTTTTATGGTTCTCATATTAGACTCTTCCTTTAATGTTTGGATGACATTTCCACCTGACTGCCGGAAGTCGCTTTGTCATCCCCAGAGGAGGGCCTCAGAATAAAGACCCACATTTGAGCTTTGTGTTCCCAGACTAGACGTGGAGGGCGCAGAGCGAACGAATGGCCACTGGTCTTCCCGGGTGGACTATGCGCTCTGCATTCTCCACATCAAGATAACCCACCGCGGTCTCCACGCGCCTCACACAATGCCTGGCAGCCACAGGGACTTCACAATGTCTCATTGATCATCTGCCAGAATATCTGAGCTCAGTGGGGCTTGGGCAGTCCCCTCCCTCTCTCCCTGCAGTGGAGGTGGGTCTCATTAAGCCACAGGAATCTCTCTGGCATTAGTAGCCAGCCATGCACTGTGCCAGCACCCGGCAGATGGATTCCAGCAGCGCCACGGGGACAGCCAGTGGCCTCTCCTGAGTCTGAGCAGCATGGCTTGTTAGTTCCCAGGCCTTCACCCACCGGCTGATGTAACACAGAGCATGGTGACAGAGCTGTCTGTGAGAGGAGCTAACTGCAGTCGCCGGTATGCAAGAGCAGCAGGCGTTGCTAAAAGGATCCTCATTATCGTTCCATTCTGCCTGCTCCTATTAGCGTCTGCCCCAGTGTTGGCTCATCTTTGGGGAGAGGAGAGCAGAACACCCAGCTCTGCCTCGGCTTGCCCTTGTGCCAAAGAACAGCAGATGGTGGCGGAGGCAGCCATGCTGGATAAGGGGGAGCAGAGGAAACATCCCCTCCATGTGATATTCCACTGTAAGCCAGGGCTTATTGCATTTAAACGTGCTCAGAAAATCTTTATCTAGTGCCGCTCCCAACCTCACTGCTACGCTGCAAATAAATATTGATTCCCAAGGTGTTCCCCGGGGACAAGAGGGGAGGGCTTCCACATCTTCACCCCCTCCAGCCTGGATGGCAGGTGCCCTCCTGAAGCAGACAGACAGAAGGTCACACCTCTCACTTGGTAGTTCTAGGTAGAGTTGGCAGGCTTCTCCTCGTTTGTTATAATCCTATATAATAAAGAGCTAATATGCAAATGGCCATCACTCCCTCGTGCCCTTCCACCCTTACGCCCTCATGCCCTTGTGCTGGGGTCTGGGGACCTGAGGCCTGGCAGGGGGACCTGAGGCTGTGGCCCCCGCCGGCCGGGTCTGGGTCTCACGTGATTTTGAGGTGCATGCAGGTGGGCAGGGACTTGACTCTGGGTCCCATGCCACACCCCAGACTCTGACAGGAGGGAGATTTTCATATACATTTTACTAATTTTCTTTCATCTCTGACACTTCTATTATAGAGAAAGGGCAAATATCAATATTAAAATATTTCCTCTAATTAGTTCCCTTTTCATGTGCACGAATTTCATGCACCGGGCCACTAGTTTATGTGTATAAAGAAAGACCCCAGCATGAGGAGGTGGTGGAATGGTGGAGGACACTGCATCCTCACCTGTGGAGCACATGAAAATTTAAGTATTACTTAGATTATCTGTTAAAAAAGAAAGCTAGCGTAATTTTTTTTAATCAAAGTAAAATTCACATAACCACTTTACAGTAAATAATCCAGTGACATTTAGTGCATTGGCAATGTTGTGCAACCACCACCTCTGTCTCATTACAAAGCATTTCCATCTCCCCCCAAAACCCAGACCCATTAAGCAGTTACACCCCCTACCCCTTCTTCAACCACTGATTACCATTCATCTACTTTTTATCTCTATGAATGTGCCTATTTTGGACATTTCATTTAAGTGGAATCAAATACTATGTGGTCTTTTGTGACTTTCACTTAGCGTAATGTCTTAAAGATTCATCCATGTTGTGGCATGAATCAGCTCTCCATTTTTATGCCTGAATAATATTCTATTGTATGTTGTGTATTCATTTGTTTGTTGTTTGGGCTGTTTCTGCATTTGGGGTATTGTGAATAGTGCTACTGGGAGCATGTGTATTCAGTAAGTTGAATTTATCTAAATGTGAATTAGCAGATACAAATATACACCCCACTGGAGCTTTAAATCCACAATTTCATCAGCAGTAAGTGAGCATTTCCTCTTCACACAAATTTGTTAAAGCACAAATGTCAATGAGTAGGAGGATATTGTAGACAATATGAAGAAGAGATGGCCATGGTGGATTGCAGGTGTGGTCAAGGTCCTTAAGCTCATCACATCTGCAGAATCTCTTTTGTCACCTAAGATAACATTCTCAAGTCCTAGGGATTAGGAACTGGATATTGTTGGGGTCATTATTCAGTCCATCACAAACACAGGCCTGAAGGTCCAGTGCTAGGAGACCAGAGGATGAAGGGGGTTGGCACCTACAGGAGTAGGAGAGGGCTGGGTCTGGAAAAAGACACTATGGTCACTTTTGGCCAAATTAAGCACTTGGGTCAGTGTCCTAGAGATAATGAGAAGCCAGGAAAGAATCTCAGGAAGTGGGTGGATGGGTCTGGCTGGCTTGTAGAAGTCATTCTAGTCTCCTGAAGTAGAGAGAGGGAATAGCAGATGCAGGGGGAAGAGCCAGGAAGCTGTTGTGACAAATCTGCTGTGCAGTGGCCAAGGTGGAAATGAGTGTGTGACGGCAAGGACCAAAAGAGGTGGGAAGACTCAAACAAAGTACTGAGGGATCAGTAGCTTATGATAAAACAGCTTTACTATTTATCTGTTTGTTCATTGATTCTGCAAATAGTTGTTGAGCTCTTAGCATGTGCTAGGTACTATGCCTGGTGCTAGGAATATAATGGTAAGCCAACTGTGTGAACCTGGACAAGTTAATTACTACCTAGGCCTCCATTTTCCCATCCATGCAATGGAGATATGAGAGTGTGTATCTCTTGGAGTGCCATGAGGATTAAGTGAGTAAATGAAAACAAAGAGTTTAAGGGCAGGGCTTGGCACAGAGGAAGTGTTTGGAGCAGCTAAAAATAAAAACAACCATTTCAGCTTTGGCTCAACTCTCTTTAGAGTGATCAGTGAAAGAAATTAAACCAGGAAAGCATTTTCAGAAACATCCCTCAATAGCTATAGATCTCTTTGGCATTACAAATCATTGAGAAATCCATTCCATAAATATATATTGAGTATATACCATGAGCCAAAACTATGCTGTTTGCTATGAGGGAAAAATTAGCAAAAATTAAACAGGTGTTATCTTCAGGGAGCTTACAGTCTAGGAGAGAAGACCAACATTAGTCAAATAAGCATACCAACCAAGGTAACACCTGTTAAGAGAGAGATGGTCGTTGTTTCCAGAAAGTCTATAGTGGGTGGATTGACCTGACCAAGGAAGTAATGGCAGGCCTTCTTTCGGAAGTGATACTTGTGGTGAGTCAAGAGGATAAGGTGGTGTTTACTGAACAGGAAGGAGTAGAAAAACATTCTAGGAAAAGAGAGGTGTATGAGCAAAGGTCCTGTGGCCAG